TCCAAGTTTAATGATAAAAATGGTGGATAGAGAGTTTCTTCTTCCTCTTTCTCTCTCTCTTCTTCGGTTTCAATAAAGAAAAATATTATATTCCAAACAATGATAAAAATAGATGGACAGAGGAGAATATTTCCATTCCAAGTTTAATGATAAAAATGGTGGACAGAGAGTTTCTTCTTCCTCCCTCTCTCTCTCTCTTTCTTTCGGTTTCTTCCTTGACAATGAAGAAAAATATTATATTCCAAATTTTAAGCAATGATAAAAATACATGGATAGAGGGTTTTTTCCAGTGGATAGAGAATTTCTTCTTCCTCTCTCTCTCTCTCTCTCTCTCTCTCTCTTTATCTTCTCTCTTTTCTTCCTCGACAATGAAGAAGAATATTATATTCCAAGCAATGATAAAAATAGATGGACAGAGAAGAATATTTCCATTCCAAGTTTAACGATAAAAATGGTGGATAGAGAGTTTCTTCTTCCTCCCTCTCTCTCTCTCTTTCTTCCTCGACAATGAAGAAGAATATTATATTCCAAGCAATGATAAAAAAATAGATGGACAAAGAATATTACGCTTTGCATTCCAAGTTTAACGATAGAAACGGTGTATAGACGGTTTCTTCTCTCTCTCTTTTTCTCTCTTTCGGAGTGGAGGGAGGGGGGAGGAGTGCTCGCGATATCGCATAAGCTACTTTGCATAAGGCTATCGTCTCTCCTTTGTTGCGAGCCTCGCCTCCCACGTACGAGTGGCGAGGCTGTCACTCAGGGGGGGCCCTCCCCCCCTCCCCGCCGGCCTTCAGTCACATCTGAAGCCGCGGATCAGGAGGGGTTTCCTCTCTATCCATCTCCCCGTCTCTCGGGCCTCTCCTCCTCCTCCCTCCCCCCCTTTCTCGATTTCAAACCCTTTCTACCGGGGGAAGGAGGGAGAGGGAAGGAGGGAAGTACACCCTGTCTTCGCTACCTTGCCCGCATTCCTGCATACAATTACACGGGGCTGCGCTTATGCATTTCGTGCGTGTAAACGTAAACGTTTCCCCTCCAACCGTTTTGCTCCACGGTTTCTTTCCACGTAATGGAGGAAATTTTTCACGTTTTATTTCTCTCGAAAATTTTTCAGAATTTTTCGGTTATTTAGTCAGTGAAGAATCCAGAATGTTGAAAAAGTTTTGCCGAATCGGCGATATTATAATGGAATTAATTCGAATTCGAATCGATAATGCAAGAATAAGAATTTTTATATAGACTCGAAGAACGGAAAATAATCTCGCGTCTCTCGAATTGGGTAACTCGGTCAGTTACCAAGCGCGGGCAATTTACATACAAATTGAAGCCGTCATCGATCTCGAACAACTGCAAATATGGTGGTGATCGGGAAACGTGCTCGGCAAATCGAATCAGCCGCCGTTACCTGTCCTCATTACCCTTCTCTCTCTTATCAATTCAGAAAATTCCACCCCTCTTTTCCTCTCGGCTAGAAAGGAAAACCTAGAAGAAACCAAAATCCTAAACCTTCTCCTCCTGGAAGACAAGGAGGTGGACCACCTCTCTTCGACTCAACCCTTGGTCTCACCTTACCGACACAACCTCCTCCTCCTCCTCCTCCTTTCGAAAGAAGAAGAAGAAGAAGAAGAAAAAGAGAGAAAGACTCGATTCTCGATCGGGAACGTAGAAACCGGGTGTTCCCCCGTAGCGCGCCAATACTCTCGAACAATCGTTGAAAGAGAGAGAGAGAGAGAGAGAGAGAGAATGAAAAAGATAAACAGAGAGAGAGAGAAAGAGAGAGGAGTGGAACGGACTCGGCGGAATGGGACGAACGAGGCCTTGCATTAATAAAACATTAAGGTTTTTGCGGACGATGTATCGATGTAGTGTTTATATTATCTTCTTTGATGTCGACATGTGAATTGGACAGATTTGTTATTCAGACTCCGTATATAAAAGTGGTGAAGTCTTGCTCCGCTCCGTTTGTGGACAGGGGAGGACGCGGTTCCCCCGCAACAACAAACGTTGGACGTCGTTCGACAGTCGGACTCCCCCTCCCCCTCCCTGTCTCTCCCGCGTCGCCTGTCGCTCAAACCGATCGACCGGACTCGATCGGCTCGCGGAGGGGAGGGGGAGGGGGAGGGGAGGGCCGCCTTTCTGACTCGCCGCGGAAAAACTCACGCCGTCGATCCGGCTAACTTTTCCAAACGCGGGCCACCGCTTTCGCTCCCTTCGAGAACGGGACACAGTTTTTTCCTCCTCTTCTTCCTCTTCTTCTTCTTCTTCTTCGAGAAAGAGAGGGATCGGTTGCTTCGTTCTACCCTTTGCTTTTTACCCTTCTTATTGGAAATTCCCAATAATCGGTTGAATCGTCATCCCCTCTCGATTACTGTTCATTAATTAAGGAGTTAGTATCGACGAGACTGAGATATATATATATATATATATAAATTTTCTGGAGGAAGAGCATACCATTGTTATTCAGCATACCATTGTAATTTATTGTTGTGAAACGTGACAATGTTGAAGTATTCGATATTTTTCGACAACATTACGAAGGAAAAAAAAAAAATATTTTTCCGAAGTGGAGGAAGGATAATAATTCGACGAGGAGGGGGCGCCATGTTTCACCCTTCGTCCCGTTCGATCGTTGTTACGATCCCTCTGACAACGAAAGTCACGATCTCCCCGGCCGGCGAGGATCGAGGAGCACCGACGAGTAACACCGAGCGCACCGATCGAAACTCGCCTGGTCATCCTCGGTAGCGCGGTGAAATCGTAAAAGAAACGGAGGAAGAGGGAGGGAGGGAGAGAGAGAGAGAGAGAGAGAGAGAGAGATCGCGTTGCATCACGGATCGTGACTTGCGTCCAGTCCTCCTGTCTCCTGTTGCCCCCTCGTTACCTTCGACTCCTGTCCGTTTCGGTAGTTTTCGAACGGTGTGAGGCCGCTTTATCAACCCGCGACCTCCCGCTCCTGTCACGCGATCGTATCTCGAGCGGATTCGAACCGCACGTCTTTGAGACGACGATATCCAGTCGTGCAAAATATATATATATATGTATATATATATATATATATATATATATATATATATATATGTATATATTCTTCGTATCGATCGAGAGAAAATCGATTTTTTTTTTTTTCAAAATTTCAATTCGAGAATAGGTTTCGAAGAAATAATGGATCGTATAATAATTTTTATTCGTAGATTAGGGAGACGATCAACACGTAACGAACGTTGTTGTTACGAGGGAAGAAAAATCGGCACGAGCAGACGTGCGCGCGAGAGGAAGGCAGGCGATAACCTTCCAAGTCCGGGCATCGCTCGATCTTTCGACTCGAATGTTATCGCTGCGTGGAATTTCAGTCGTAAGTTATTATCGAGCGATGCGTGTGTGATCAACCAACCAATTTTCTTTCCTTTAAATTTTCCCCTACTTTTCTGGTCTAAAAAGTTGGAATTCGAGGAGGTGTGTGTGTGTGTGTGTGTATATATATATACATGTATGTATCTATATATAAGAGAAAGAAGAAAGGGTAAAACGTCGTCCTCTTTTTTTTTTCTGTACGTCATATCATTTTAATAATTACAATTTAAATTATATATATATATATATATAATTATGCGACCTTACACGTACGGTGCTCTAGGTTACGTAGATGTATTAAGTAGTAGATACTTTTTATTTTTTTTTTTTTTATCTTTTTTTCTTTTCCTTCTTTCAGTTAGAACTATTTTTACGTATATTTTTTTTTTCTTTTTTTTTTTTTTTTTTTTTTTTTTTTTTTTTTTTTTTTTTTCTTTTTTCTTTTCTTTACATGGAATGAAGTAACATTTCAGTTTTGACGCTACGCACGAACGTAATACTTGAGCTTAATTTTAAATTGGAGAAACGCATCCTTCGCACCTGACGGGTATGTGAAATATACATACATATATATATATATGTATATATATATATATATATTTCCTTTGTTTCCTTTTTTTTTTTTTTCCTTTCTCACACATGATCCGAACGCGCGCGTCTCGAAGAAAGTAAGAAAGTAAGAAGATCGTCGAACGTCACGTTCACGGGAGGAGAGTGAGATATATATATATATATACATATATATATCTCGCGCGTAATCCGCTTAATATTACTCGCGACGGATTATCTCGCGCTTGAAAACAAGAGCGCGAGAAATTTTATATGTGAACTCTGCATTCATAGGTACGGAACGTGTTATGTACGACACGCGGCGTGAACAACAAAAAAAAAAAAAAAAAAAAAAGAAAAAAAAAAATAATAATAATAATAACGAAACAAATAAAATACAATATTAACACTGGACCAAGTCAATTAGAAACAGGCTCACTCTCGATAGAATAATAGTAATAATATCGATAATTTCAATAATCATCGTAATAATATTAATAATAATAATATTAATAATAATAATAATAATAATAATAATAATAATAATAATAATAATAATTATTTAATTAATTATTAATTATTAATCTTCGCTATTCTTTCATTTAAATATCCCTATGCGATGTACCAGGCGATAACGAAAGATTCTAACGTATTTTATATATATAATATGTGTATATATATATATATATATTGTTTCAGTTCGAACAACTTGCATCCTGCATCTGCGTTTTTATCACAAACAATTACATTCCACGAAGCAATACCATTTTCTGTCCCTTATCGAATTGCAAAAGAATTATTTCGAGGAATCGTGCTCGTTCGTTAACGCCTCGTACGATAATAACGTCGTTCAATATCGTGTTTTTTTTTTTTTTTGCCATATATTCAATAGCTATGTACAATTCAACGTTATAGCCTACGCTTATATCTTTCTCTCTTTTCGCCTTGCTCGCTCTTGCTCACCTTATACATTTATTAATCTTTTCTCTCTCTCTCTTTCTCTCTTTCTTTCATTCACTCTCTCCCTCTCATTCTCTTTCGTTCTGAATATTAATAATATTATATATATATATTTATACCTTTTTTTTTTTTTTATAGATCCCTGTATTCTTCCGAATTTGCCTCGCATAAAATTTTACGCAGTTCACGACATCTTTTATTTAAGCACGAGAACGACTGCTAGAGCGATTTATTATTTTTATTTTTATTCTCGAGGTTTAATTATTATACCTTTCCTTCTTTTCTTTTCTTTTTTTTTTTTTTTTCTTTCTTTCTTCCGAGTCTTCGGTATCACAAGATAAAACCAATTATTATAACGCACGCGCCACGAACACATTATCTAAATTCATTTAAACGTTTGCTTTTTTATTCGATTAGATTCTATTTCCTTCTTCCTTTCTCATCCTCCTCTCGCTCGGAAAAGATTGCTCGTTTTTCTCGTTCTTATTCTTTCCTTTTCGTATTGCGCGTCGTGATGCGCAGTCGCGAATGCGCAACCAGACGGGAGGCGCATGCGCGGACGCGACGCGTACCTTTCGCAAAAAAGCTGATCGAAAAATCTTCCTCTATCCTCTCTGGACAAAAAGTGACGTTATACATTGTTTAATTCCTGTACAATTCAAGGGAAAAAAAAAAAAAAGAATTGTACCGTGTGTAATTTAATAATTAAACGCGAGAATTCCACAAGAGAGCAACGAGACTTTCTACCAAAATTGTGTTCGACGCAAGAATTGCGAATCCATCGAACAGCTATCCGTAAGAACGATTTAACGATTTAATTGTTTCTGATTAATCATTGTTTCTGTTGAGAAGATACGAACTGCGGTATTTACAACAAACAGCTTGCTCTGCTTAATCCCCTATCGAAAATGTCACGTACCTTTAAGGAATAAAAAAAAAAAAAAAAAAGAAAAAATAACGTTAGAAAAAGGAGGAACATATATATATAAGTAAGTACCGCGTAATATATATTACGTGCGCATGTATATCGTACGTGATAAATGAAACGACGACGAAAGTGCTCTCCTATTCGATTTGGCTTAACCGCGGCGTGAAAGGAGGGGGGAGAAAAAAAAAGAATAGGCATCTGTATCGTCTATCCAGCTATATAAAATTGCGACGGCATCATCATATACGCTTCGATTTTCGCGAGTAAAAGTTTAGTAAAAGTATCAGGCGGGCCTCTATCGAAAAAACGGCGGCGAAGTATGGATCGTGTGTTTATTAATAGGCACCTTACGTACTACGTAGGTAAGTAGAGAGACTTTAACGTGCACATAGAAACAGACGGTTCCACCGGTCTGTGGAGACTGCGTCGTTCGTCGATTCGTCCGGCCGGTGAATCCCCCGCAGAGGGGGAGGGAGGAAGAGGGAGAGAAGGGGAAGGGAGGGGAGGGGAAGGAGGGGAGGAGATAGATTTTTTTTTTCTTCTCGAGAACGAGCGAAAGAAGAGGAGGAGAAGAGAAGAGAAGAGAAGAGAAGAGAAGAGAAGAGAAGAGATGGAAGAAGGAACGCAAAGTTAAGTAATGTAAGTACAAGTCGTAGCCGCGTTCCTTCTTTTCCTTTTTCTCTTTCTCTTTTCTTCTTCTTCTTCTTCTTTTTTTTTTCCATTCGGTTTCGAAATATACGGGGGAAATATACGTATGTTTGTGCGTAAGGGAGTGAAGTGTAGAGGGGAGGGGAGGGGGACGAAGAGGAGGGTGTCGTCCTCTTTTGGATAGATCCAAAAGATGCGAAAACGATAGACGCGGCCGGACAAGATAATTAATTAATTACTCGCTCAATTAATTAATCACTTTAGACCGCTATAATTTCTAAGCCCTTAAAAACTACTGATTCGGTTTTATCTCACCCGCTGAGGTGGCTTCCCGTCCGCGTTCGGGTTACGCTTTATAATTTAACCGCGCGGCGAGAGAGCCCCTCGGAGCGCGTCCAGTCCATTTAATCGGGCGCACGGCTTTGCTTTGCAGAAAATTTCTTTTTTTTTTTTCTTCTTCTTCTCGGCTTCCCCTTCAACTTCAACAATAGTTATACCGTGACGGAATACCATCCCGCGAATGTGGACACAGGCTCGGATGGCCGATGGACGATGAACATATCGATAATGGAAACAATCTCCAACAAAATTTTCGAGATTTCTTCGAGTCGAAAAAAAAGTAAAGGATGAGATAGGAAGGAGAGAGAGAGAGAGAGAAAATTTTTATCATCAAATTGTGGAACCGAATTGTGTCACGTCTTCCATCGTCTAATCTGATTGTTACAAACTGGAACAATGTTGAAAAAAAAAATTCCAACATAAGATAAAAACATTAACCGACGAAATTAAATATATTACATAACATATTGCTCGTTCAAACTGGAGCAAAGAAAAAAGTGTGTGGACGAAGAAGAAAGAGAGAGCAAAAAAAAAAAAAAAAAAAAAGAAAGAAGAGGAGGAGGAATATGAATTCTACGAGTGACGTTGACGAGTGACGGGTCCTATCGGCGGCCTATGCCCAGAGATCGCGGGCCTCCTCCGCCACGTGTGTCCTACTGGAAGTGAAGTGTGTGTCCCGGGCCGGCCTGAGTCACCGAGCAAGACCTGTTACGAATCGTGTCCCCGATCGTGACGATGGCCAAGGCCGGGGGGAGGGGGAGGGGTGGGGAGGGGTGGGTGTGGGGGAAAGCCTTTTTAGAAGTTCTGCTCGCCGTACATCCCGGGGAACCGGACAGCGTGTGCTCCGAGCTCGGCGGGCGAGAACTCGTCCTATGTGGCCAAGTGTGCGAACTGGCCTGGGTGGGGCGCGAACTGGTAAGGGTGGCCGTAAGGCGACATGTGGTACGGTACAATGTTCATGCTCGCCATCTTGTGCTCCTTTTTCCACTTCATCCGCCGATTCTGGAACCAGATCTTGATCTGCCGCTCCGTAAGGCAGAGGGCGTGCGCGATCTCGATGCGACGCCGCCTGGTCAGGTATCGGTTGAAGTGGAACTCCTTCTCGAGCTCCAACGTCTGGTACCTGGTGTAGGACGTCCTTTGCCGTTTCACCTCGCCGTTCGCGTTCACCGTGCCTGTCAGAACATGCATTTCCGTCAGTCAGCAACTTTCAACGATATTTACGAATTAACAATTATCTTTGATTATATAACACTTTTAAATATATATTGCGTTGCTCTAATATCGATATTTCGATTCGTCATAACGAATAAAATAATAATTGTACATGAGTATGGAACAAATAAAATAAAATTTTATTATATATATCCCCTGTAGAGTTTAGATTAATTTATGAAAATAGATACATGTAATAAAAATTATCGATGTAGAAAAGGAATTATTTTTATGAAAAGGAGAAGCTTGTAGAAAATAGATTTCTTGGTAGGTTTCTTAGATATAAAGAAAACATCTAATATTACTACTGTTTTTATTGAACTTCAATTAATAATTGTTTTCTTATTGGATTAGATTTCTGAATATTATCTTACTCCTTTTAAACAGGTTGTTACAAGGTATTATTTCCATCGAAAATAAACATGTCCATTATCGAATTGTCGTGGACGAGGTTATGAAGATATCGGAAGGTATCGAAAGGCCGATCAAACGTAACGGTTCGGTTAATTATTTCAACGAGTTAATGCTGAATCGAAACGGTGTTACGGTGGCTACAACACCGGTCGGTTGGCAGCTGTTTCGCCTATTTACCCAGCGCGCGCGCGCGCGCGCACGCCCGGGCCATAAATAATTTTATGCAACGCTGTTATTACGATACCGCTCCGCCTATTACACCTACTCCGCGCTCCGCGTTGCAAAATGCTCGGGTAACGAATAGCTCTCAAGCAGAGAACCTCTCGAGGCCACCTTTAAATACCAATAACCTGTTACTCCACCTGTAATACGCTTTTCCCAGCAATCAACCCAACCGATTTACCCGTAAAACACTTTGATTATCCCAATTGCTGATAACACACACACACATACACGTGTGTGTGTATGTGTGTGTATAGAGAAAAAATATATATATACACACACACACATATATTTGAAGAGTCGTAAAATATATGTGTGTGTGTATAGAGAAAAAAAATATATATATATATACACATACACACATATATTTGAAGAGTCGTAAAATAGTCGTAAAAAATAAAAAGTCGTAATAAAACAAATAGTCGTAATTCGAGGAAATTCGATTCACACGCGCTTGCGAGATTGAATAAGTATGGGAAGAATAGCGGAGCAGGTGTTCACAAAGTTAATGACAATTTCCACCTCTCCTAACTCTGAGGACCCCGCACCGAAACCGTTTACTCGCGAAGCTCATCCACGAGGAAACGAGAGGGAGGAAGAGGGGAGAGGGAGAGCTTAATGACCAGCGGGCGTTATCACTTTCCTCCCGAAGTAACGCGTGGCCGTTGGCTGACTTTTTAACGAATAGCTCGCCCCCTCCTCGCGATATCGGCCCGATCTTGACGGAATTCTTTCTCTCTCTTTCTCTCTCTGTCCAGCCTCATTATTACACGCCACTATGAAGCCGGCACGCGTACCAAACTCGAGCGAAGCCCGAAGGGACATAGGATCCCAGCGTGGATCCTTTCCCGGTGATTAATTGCCAACCGTGTCCCGGTGACGTCGATACAACGTATGGAGCCACGGGGAGACGATCCGCCCGCTGTGTTGCGCGCCCGCGAATTTGGCACGAGAAAAGAAATCGAAGGAGAGAACGTTCGAGTCCGAGTCCGAGTTCTTCGCCACTTTTCCGAAAGAAAAAAGAAAATTATCCGGATATGGAAATACGCATATATACGTATATATATATATATATATATATATATATATATTGGATGGAGTTGGCCTCTGAGGAGAGATCTAAGAGTTGCGTCCGTTTTTCGATAAAAGAGAGAGAGAGGAGGGAAGGGAGGAGGAGAGGTTGGGGCCCGACTTTCACCGGGACCCCGCATTCTTCCGTCACAGGGGCCGGTGTGCATCGACGTTGACAAGAGTCGGACAGCGATTAATCATCGCCTCTCTCGTCGAGGAAGAGGAGAGAAAAAAGAAGGGAAAAAAAAAAGGAGGAAAGTTTTCGTACCACGGTGTGTATTCCAGTCACGGTGGATCGCGCCAGTTCGCCGCCGTATCTTTATCACAGGCTGATAATGGATCATTATCCAACGCGTTTTGTTCGCCGGTTGAACGAACCCGGTATGCCCGAATACGAATCCGCGGACGTATTCACGGATTATTCAAAGGCTTCTCTCTCTTTCTATCTCTCTCTTTCTCGAGCACGTACACGCACGCGCAGGCGCACAGACGTGCGCGTCACGGTGTTGCGCGAGAGGCCTTTGTTGTTGCGAATCCTTGGTCGTGGCATTCTTTCACGGCGATGCGACGAAACGCGGACGCGAGCTATTAATCATCGGTGGCCGAGGATTTAGAAAAAGCATCGGGCCTTGGTGTCCTTCTCGATGACAGAACCTAGACATCCGAGGCCTCGAGATGATGATTACGTTCGATCCGTGTTTTACGCGAGATTCTGCTCGTCGATCGACACGAACGAGCTTTGTATCCGTGATATCTTTTCTTTTTGCGTCTTGGATCTTTCTGTGGAGAGTAAATTGGTTCGTAAGTTTCGAGTTATTAGAAAGTTGGTATTAAAGAGTGTTTGATAGGTTAGGTTAGGTTGTTACGAAAAGATTAAGGGTAAATGCTTTTTGATACGATTGATAAATTGTATAGTGTATACAGTAAAGATTTGATTAATTCGCTTCTTGTTGTTATTTTTAACTTTAATATCCAATATAAAATTATTCTTTAAATGTTCTTTAAAAACGTTTAATCAAAAATATATATCTTGTTAATTCTTAATAAAAATCCATTTACCGTTTAAAAATCATTCTTCATCGAATATCATATTTCCACTCTTGCTCCTTAAAAGATACTTCCTCCAAAGTGACACGTAAATCATTTTATTCCATTTCCTAACCGACTCGAAGAACCTTGGTAAAAACCGTTCGAGAATACGTTTTCCTCGAGCACCAAAAATAACACCGAAGAAATTAAGCCGAGTGATAATTGAACGGGTGTGGGCGAGACGTGCGACATCTGATCGGGTTTCCCTCGAATTATAAATCTCTTTCCACGTTCAAAGAATCGTGATTGTCGGATATCGGTTCAACGCACGATGTGTTGGCAGTGAGCAATTAACGACACGCGTGGCTTTTCTTTCTTTTTTCTTTTTTTCTCCTCTCCCTCTTGAGGGAAAAGATATCGCGATAATTAGAGAAAAACTGGCTCGCGCGAATCGCCGTGCAACAAACGTTTTATTAAGCGTTATAACACGAGGCCGTGTTACTATTAGTCAGATCAGATCTCTCGCAATAGATCTGTGGAAAGAAAAAAAATCTCCGCTAACTGCTGGCGATCAATCTTTGCTAGCAATTGCTCTCTTGGTTTGAATAAATGCGTTAGGTTTCTTGCTTCTTTGCATGTTATTAGATTTCCTTTCTTTTATCTCTCTTTCTTTTTTAATTTATCTCTTCCTCTTTGCCAAAGGTAATGAACTTCTGGTAACTGGTCAACTGATGAAGTATTAATCGAGTATTAATGAGTTTTCAAGCTCCGTTGAAATTCAAATTTTGCTCTTTAATTAAAATTATCTGGTTGGTTTGTACTCTTTTTATTGTTCTGAAAATTAGAATTGTATCGATTTAGAAAATGGTTGTAATGATTGTGTTAGGAGGGTTATGTTTAATTAATTTTCGACATGTTTTTAAGATGTTTCATTTTTTCTGAGTAGATAGGGAATAACGATAGGAGAGAACGTCCAATCGTTACTCATCGGCGATCTTATGACAAAATATACGAAACGTCAACGATGTGTGTCTTACCACTCGAGGCAGCTGTGAACGTTCGCTTTTGTGTTACGCTACACGTTATAGCTTAGCATAAACAAAAGAAAAGGGAAGGAAACGACGATGAAACGTGGCTGTGCGGCAACGAAATGGTAATTCTCATAGTTAACCTAATTTGTGATGGAATGTTACAAATTAGGAATGAAACAGAAAATGAGAAATAAATACTATAATTTTTTTTATAATTACTCACGATTCGAATTGTAAATGAAATTGTAATCCTGATATCTTTGAAGAAAAGTTATTTTTGTCCTTCTTCTTCTCTTCTAACAAGTAAAGTATTATATATTCTGATTCAAAAAATCATACTTTATATTCTGTATAAAACTTGAATATGCAATATTTCTGTTTCGATTTCTTAAATATTTTCACAGTATATGCAGGCTCTGATTTACATTTTTACGAAAAATCATACAATATATATTTCTATCTGGTATCTGATCAGATGACAAAACCAGTCATAAACATATCTTGTTTTCCTAATTTTATAGTGCAATGATTGTAAAGTTCAAATTTTGCATCTGTTTTATCATTTTTAAACTGTATAACGAATAGATGCCTTTTGCAGAATAATAAATTTTAGAAATTAATATTTAAAATTAGAAATTAATATTTAATTAATATCTAAAAACACTCACAAAATTATCAAATTATTTCTTAATCTTAATTTCTTAATTTCTTAATTCTTCTTAATCTTGACGAATGACATTAGTCAGATTTACAGAAAAACACGGATTTAATTTACAGATGTAAATATTTTAAACAATTTTATCATAGTAATCACAAATTCATCACTTTTCTAGAATCCACGAAACTTTTTTTTAAAAAAGGAAGAAAGAAAAGATCGTATAACCTAATAATAATTTTCCAACAAAATCCACTACAGAGGGAGTTTCTCTCACTGGGTAAAAATGTTTGACATGTCTCGCGGGGAGGGGAGAGGCTCTAGAACGACAGGGTCAACGAGTCGCATAGCTGTCGCTGCTGTTAAGACACCGGTGTAGAATGAAAGAGTGCGCGCTAAGCGCAGGCCCGTGTCGTGTCAGGCATCTTGTGTCACCTCGTGTCGTCTAGCGTTTTCGTGGCTCTCGCTCTTAATAGAACTCTCTCGTGGCGCGTGTATTCGCCGAACGTGTCACCGAGCTGCCAGCACGAAGACCGTT